GCCTGAACCCCCTGCGCGGGTTAGGTTGAGTTTCAAAAACTGCAAGGGACGCTAATTTGTTTTGAGTCTTGTAGTCTCTCTTCTCGTATTTTCCCAATCCGAGCACTGAAACACGCTGCATGTATTCGTATAACTTAATGCAGATACAAGACAATATATAAAATTAAATACTGCAAAACAAAAACCTGACGTAATAATAATAGTTGATATTTACGAAAGAGAGTATTGTTTTATAATTTTTTTTTTTTATTTTTTTTTTTCATTCATTGTTAATAATAATATTTCGAAATACGTCGTGCGAACGTAACTATATAGATACCAGCGTCGAGTTTATTTACAAACAAAACAAGCAGATGATTGGAACGGAAAAATTTAAGGAACGTCAAATTTGCCTCTTATGAAAAAAAAGAAAAGAATTAATAAACATTCCTCTCCTAAGTTTTTTTCGATGTGATATAACGATGATTTTATACTGGTACATTTTTTTAAAATCAATGTGAAACAACCAAAGACAACTTATTCAAATTTAATGTTAATAGAAAAAAAATCAACAAATAAACAAAAAAAAGAATTGTACCTATAGTCACCTAAAATTTCAAAAAAAAAAAAAATGCAGTCAGTTACAAATTTAAATCATTCTAACAAATTCCAATACAAAACTTGATTTTGCATAATATTTTGAGGTTTCCGGTTTTTTTTTTTCTCATTTTCTAGTAATAATTTATTAATAACAATACTATAAAAATATGTTTTACTTTATACAATATGCTAAAATGTTAGTTGTTTCAAAGATTTAACTTTTTAATGTAACGATATTAATAAATTTTAATAAACATTAATATAACTGTGTATGTTTTTTTCACTTCGTCGCCTTTTTAGTAATAATTATTTTTTTACCAAACATGTTTTACATCTATCTGCTTTTTTTATATTTTAAAATTATAAATAATAAGTTGATAATAATAATAACATAATATTTTTTATGGATTTTTTTTGTTTTTGACATAAAACTTGTGATAATGAATGGGAAGTGAACTTCTGGTTTTGGGCGGCGAATCGCGCAATGCCCCCCGCTGCTAGACGCGTATTTTATTTACATTATGTTTTAAATGTTTCAAGTTCGCTAATTGAAAGTACGCAGTACAAAAACGCAAACATAATAACGTTATTATACAAAAGTCGTATGCACGACGACAGTGTTAGGGGGGGAAAAATAACTACGTAATATGATTTCCATAATTAAAAGGCCAGCCCGTACGTCGCTCACCGTGAACAAGTCGCACAGGTTCGCGATAGTAGAATAAGATAATTAAACAAAATGCGATTCCGCGAGGAACTCGGCAAACTGGTAAGGTTATCGTACGTGTATATTTTTTTTTTCCCGTAGCCAAGGTGATCCAGAAATCAAAACCGATTTGTCGTCATAATGTGTTTGTTTATTTTTGTTTTATTTTATTTTTTTTACATACATTAAAAACTGTTGAGAATCATGAAACAAAACTGTTGTTCGAACAATGTACCGCCGCCGGGCGGACGTTTTCTTTTCGTTTTCAGACCACGCGCCGCAGCGACGGCACCGGGAAAATCCGAAAACAACGACGCCACGCGCGTGGTGGATATAAAAAAAAAAAAAAAAAAAAAAAAAAAAAAACAAAAAACAAATCGCCCTTATTCGATCGGGTTTGCCGGGGGAATACCCGCGGATAATTCGACGAACGTCCGGCACAATCGCCGCGTAGCCGCCGCGACGTTCCAATTCCTTTCCGGCGTGCCCGCGATTGTTCTCGGCCGCGCGCGGTGCACCGGAGAGAGAAGGCCGCGCGCGCCGCGATCGACGGACGCGTCGTACGGATCCGCTGCGGTCGCGGACGGATGCCGCGCCGCCGTCCGGACGGCATTGGAACGGCAAATCCGTCCCCGTACTCGTCCGGGGCGACCTCTGCGCGCACCCGTATACGCCGGCACAATGCTAATAACGCGCGGCCGCTGTCGTCACTGTTGTTGTTGTTGTTGTTGTTGTTGTTGTTGTTGTTGTTATAATACGGCGGCGCACGTCTCCGGGGCCGCGGGCATTCGGTCCCGGCGTAATTATTACCGACGGGTCCGCGTCCCCGGACAATTTTATTCGGCGTCGAATCGCGTGTGAGTACCGCGGCGACGCCCGGGCCGACACCGGGGTTAGCCGGAGAGCGCGACGTGACGATGCGTTACGGGTACGCGAAATGCCGAGCAAAACGCGAAAACGTACGCGCACGACGCAGACCGTGTAAAATCAACGGTGGCGAAATCCGTGTTGTACTGCGACATAAGTGGCCGCCCATAAGTATACGAAAATAAACGGATCCGCGTTATTCTTTTTTTCTCTTTTTTTCTTTTGAATTCCGAGTGGACCGAAGAAGCTCATGGTTCTACTGCAGGGATGTTTATCAATTTATTTTTTTTGTACATTAAATTTCCCCTCCACTGCCCTCCCTCCCTCCCTGCCGACAACAGTGGCCCGCCCACGTGGTGTGAAGATGCCCGGCTCTTTTCTTTACATCTTAATTAAAAAAAAAAAAAAAAACAAAAACTACCGCGCAACACTGTTTTCGATGATTTTTGACGGTAGGTCTGACAATGCAATCAGTCCGTTTCAAAACGCGCACAAGAAATTAAACCCGGGAGAATAGCGGTTTTGTAATCAAAACTAACAATAAGTTCCGATGCCTCATGACGTGGGTTTCGCTACAGTGAAGTCTGCTAATTAACCCGTGTCAAAAATCAAATAATCCATTATAAATACATCAAAAGTCACATGTTTCAAACTTCAATGTCAGAAAATAAAATACGCTGCGGTGACCGAAGTTCTAACCTATGATGACGGTGTCGAGTTTCTTATTTTAACGCACAAAAAACAAATCAATTTGGAATTTTTCATTGTACAAAAAAACCCTTCCACAATTTTTTGTATTCTAAAAAAATATTTATTTTTTTTTAATAATTTTTAACCAGCATTCATGTTTAAAATACATTTAAAATAAAACAATTGACAGTTTGAACATTAAAAAACAAATTCGACCAACTTGTTTAATTAACTGTTAAACTGGATTTGTTGTGTTTTACAATTTTTTTTGTTTTATATTTATCTGATTATTTTGGAGAACAACAACAAAAAAAAAAAATAATAATAAAAACAACACATTTTTATGCGTTTACATATTACCGAGGTTATGCAGTTTTACAAGAGTAAAAACATAGACGACTCATCAATGTTGAGTTTTCGGGGAAAATTTTTTTTTTTTTTTACACATTTGAAAATATTTGAGAGAAAATTATATAGCGTATTTCGTGATACTTTATGCATCTGAAGAAAACATTTTATTGTCACTTTAAACTATTATTATTATTCATTTTAATTTTAAAGTACCGATCATACACACGCGTTTGCTAACCTGTTGTCGGCGATTTTTGTACTGATAAGAATCGCGTATATTCGTCCATAAAATTATCTAATATTTTGATAAATTTTACGTTGCAATGAACTTAGGTCCTGTCGATGATTAATTTTTGATCTTGAGAATAGATTGCCCATTCGAATATCGTATTTCGGTGTTTATTGATTATTTCTGCATAAAACAAGGAAAACATAATAATATGTCTGCGTGTTTTCTGCTAATAATATTTAAGAGACTATATAAAGAACGTATTTTGAAAGTTTTTAACGAGAACACTAGTTTCGTATTCCGGCGCTTTTTGAACATAAAAATTCGCATCTGATAATAATTATATTGTACCGTTATAACACGGGACACGACCGACGTATAAACTAGATGAGCTCTCTATTTCACGTGTATACGCTTTCACGTAATCACGTGCGCTTTCAGAGACGAAATGGCTTTTTTCCAGATGGCCCGGATCGTATTATGGTCTGGTGACTCGATATTTGTACATAATAATATTTCACATACTCGCATTGTTTGAAAACTTGGTAAAAAGTTATGCCAAGACACATATTATTATGTTCTCGTTTCGGTTCCTAATGGGCGTTTTACGTATATTATATTTTCGTTTTAGGTATTCCTGTACACTAACATTTACATTGAATCGCACATTGTTGAAAGCACTTGTTTTTCAGTGGTCGAATCACTCCCCCCCCTCCCATCTTGTCTTCGCCCGTGCTTCAAGAACAGACTCATTTGTATATAGCTCCCCTCAATTCGAAACAGAAAAAAAAACGAGAAAATGTAGGAAATATATTAGTAAAATATTACGTTTTTTTTTTATTCTGTGGACAACTTTTCTACCAGGAATTTCGCTCCGATTTACAATGATAGCACTTTTTCTGAAAGGAAATCTAACCGGGAAGGAACTTTAGGGTAGTAATTTTTCGGTTTTCCCAGAGAATGTGAAAAATCGGGAAAGAAACGCACGGGAAAACGACAAAGTATTTAAACGAAAATGTTAAACAAATATTATTAGACATGTACAGACATGTTATGCATGTGTATTGTACTGACAGAGCATCACAATCAACTGAATTCCACTCAGAATCGTTTTTTTTTTTGTTTTTTTTTTTTTTTCGTTAGCGAACGGTTTATCGTTGCTTGCGGATATGCATTGAATTCCCGTCCGCGCCCTGCCTCCCCAATTTCCCACCCCTACAACGGCGGCTGGACCCGTCCCCATTAATTTACCTCGTTGTTTTTTTTATTTTTTCGTTCTCTTTTACTCATTCAATACCGCGCCTGTATTATCGTAAACCGATATAAAACGTAACGCCCGTGATAATACCGGCCGCCCACGGTCGCCGTCGGCGACGACGACGCCGGAGGCCCTGACCGCCGCCAGACGCGGCACGATAATAAACGCTGTTATTATAATAATCGAATAAAATATCATTCGTGCGTATTGCCGCGGCCGCGGATCGCGTCGACGGTGGAGGGAACGGCTACGCGAGGCGGCCGTCGCCGCGTCGAACCCGGCCGCGCGGGCCTCCGCCGCGACAGTGACATCCGAACAGCCTGTTCAAACACCATGCGCGACAGGTTCGTCTTGTTGTCGGCGCTCGCGTTGCTGCTGCCGGCCGTCCTGCGGGCCGCGGTCGTCCCGAAAAGCGGAATCCGATCCGAAAACGGTACCCGATAAATATTATTACGCTGTTGCCATTATCGTTTATCATTATTGTTGTACTCGCTGTCCGGGCCCCTGACACGGCGATAATAATCGTTTTACGGCTGTACCGTATCGAATTTCGTCTCGGTTTCCGGCCCGCGATAGCTGCAATATCGTTTTTTCACAAGCTTTGCCCCTTGTTGTTGTTATTATTATTATTATTATTATTTTCTTCTTCTAATGTTTCACTGTGTTGTTTTTTTTTTTTTTATTTTTCCTGTTCCGTGCGCGTACCCCGCCGCCGCCGCAGACAACGGAGACTCCGTCAACAGCCTGGAAGACGTGGATCTCGGTTGCGACGGCGCGGCCAAATGCGACCAGGACCAAGACGCGGTAGGAGCGGCGGCCGCCGTAGGGATCGGCGGCGTCCAGTCCACCACCAAAAACCGTAAGCCACCCGCAAATCGTTACGTTTGAAACGCGCGCGCCGTTCGGTACCGAAACCCGTTTCGCGAGGCCTGTCCACGAAAACCGCTCTCCGTAATGCAAATATTAATACCTACCGATACGATTATGCGCACGCGGTATAAAACCATCCGTTTTTCCGATTTCCCGGCTCGGTCCGGCACGACAGTCACGGGAAACTCGAACGAATTACGACGACGATAGTTATTAAAGTGGACGGGTTACTATCCTCGTCTCACGCACGTGAGACATAGGCGATTTAGGCGCGCTTTATTTCCTGCGTGCCGATCGATCGCGGCGAAGCGATACGATTTCCGAGAGCCGATTTGAATCCGTCGTGAAGTCTACTTGAGATCGACCTTCTCACTTTTTGACTCTTGATTTTTATTTTCCAAAAAATTAAAATATTCCATTTTTCGTTACATTGCTCTTTTATTAGTGTGGCTTCTTTTTTTTTTTTTTTTAGAACTTGACTTTAAAAAGCCGGAAAGTCGATCTCACGTAGACTTCACGAAAAATTCAAATCTGTTTCCGGAATTCGTATCGCTTCGCTAGATCAATCGGCGGTACGTTGGAATTAAAATACGTCTAAACCTCACTTGTGTAAGACGAATACAGAAACTCGTCACTTCAAATCCCCTTAATATAGTAATATTCGTAAAGCGTACTATTATAAGAGCGAATATTTCATCAACGAAATAATACGTTTTTGTTGATAAACGTCGAAAAAAAATCTCACTGTACACGATGACATCGTTTTTAATTTAATTTATTTTTTTTATTATTTTTTTTTTGAGTTATTCATACAGAAGTATACCGAACAATGCAATTATCGATCGAGTTTAAATTCTAAACACGTATTTAATTGTTCAACTGTAATAAAACCATGCCGGTCGGACTTTTTACCCGAATTAAATCGCCGAACGGCACTGTGGTCGAAAAAAGGTTCGAAAAAAATGTATTTAAAACACTGATTTCCCTTCCCGCTTACAGGCTTAATAGCAATAATGATCATTGGCGTGGTTAAAATTTTAAAATATACTATGGTTAATGTCAATATTGTTCGTTCAGTATAACCGCAATTCCGTACTGTTAGTTTTAATATAAGAGTGGATAATTGCAAGCCTGTTATCAAACTTAAAGGTTAGAACCTATGTGTTTATACATTTATGTAACGTTGGTTTTTTAAATATTTTCATTCTTAAACGAGGTACGAGAAGGTCAAATATTAAATAAATTCTTATAAAAGAATAACTTTTTATTAATCTGTTTTGTATCGTTAGACAATTTTATTTATAAGTTAAGTCCGTTAGAACGGGGACTTTTAAAACCGTTATTTTTAAACGCTTTTTAACCGTTTTTTTTTTTTATTATTATTCAAGGATTTGTTGAAATTTTAAAACGCTTTGTTGCAGATTTTAAGAGCATATAAATCCGGTCTTTAATTATCATTACCGTTATTATTAAGGAATTATTTTTCGTAGTTAAGAAACCGGGTTTAAAAACTCCGTTTTGGCGATTGTACAATATACATTATACCGTATCACATACACTGAAAAAAAAAAATGTAAGAAAAACCACACATTATAGCTATTTTTCGATTACACATTTCTTTCAGACGGTGCGGTTCCATATAAATATATTATATATCTTTTAAATTCAATTTATTATACATTTCCGTTGAAACACCTTTCTCGACCCGCGTGCAGTTGGGCCATTACCTTTTTTTTCGACCCAAGTACAATTCGACCTTAACCGTAATAAACTTTAATATAATACGATATTATGTGGCGGCGTGAGTGTATAATATATTATAGTATGGGTAATAATAATATTATTAACCTTACCGAATTCTTAACGCGTTTTTGTTCAAAGCGATATTTGTTGTTAAATTTCAGTATAAACTCGTTATACGTATATAATATACTGTACCAGCGCATTCTCGTCGGTTTTCGTGTATTTTTTTTTCTTTTCTATATAATAATAAATATATGAGTCTCAAGTGAAAACAACCTATTGTTTGTTGTTTAAGAGAGCCATTGCATTTTTTATGAGCTTAAAAGCATTTTCGAGAGTGTATACCTGTATACCTATACGTTCTTGCGACTTACAAGTTTCAGGAATTCGTGACCTCCACGTGTGTCTTATCTATACCGCGGCACGTACATCCTCCTGTGTCCCCTGTCCCGCGACACTTGTTATTATGTTTTACTTGTTTCGCTTCCAAACATTTTCTGACACATCCGACTTCTTAAATATTGTCAACCGCGGCATGCGATTTTCGGGAAAAATGTCACGTCAGCTTCAAAGACATTTTTCCTATAGTGCATTGTAGGTAGGTGCGCGTTTTTCGTATACCGTTAATTTCGTTATACTTCCGGACCGGGGAAAGTGAAGGCGGTATCCCTGCAGCTACCTATAATCGTTGTACGATATTCTACGCGAGTTCGCAACATTTTCGACGCTGAAATTGTATACTCTTCCAAGTATATTATTTTATAACCGTAAGATTTTCTTACATTCAAAATCTAACCAAATTAATTTACATCGAAATAGGTCACAGTATAACATTTCATCTTCAAATAAAATGATTTAATTTTATGTGTTATACATATACGTTGAATACGATTACTAGAAACGGAATTAAACATAATAGCCCGTAGTCCAAAACTCGTAGCCCGAAATCGAAGGAAAATATCGATTTTATTTATTGTACGTTCGATGAGAGAATAAGTAGTTACTACCTTATATGACCTTCGCAATATTTAAGTAAACATTATGATTTTTGACGGTTTATTCTCTAAAGTACTCACGTTGGGCGGAGCTGCTGGTCGTCTCGGGAACGTTTTCTTATTAATATTTGATTTGATCTTATTGGGGGCGGGGGGGGAGAGGAGGAAATCGAAATCATAAAATACATTATAATATTATGTAATGGAATTGCAAAGTTTTAAAAACATCGTTATGGAATGAAAAATCCGCTGTAAATATTTTATGGCCGCATTTTCCCGTTTTTATGCCGTCGTACGTTATCTATACGGTTTTTAAAATGCTTGATATCACCCGGTTAATGCCGATTAATGTGGCCGAACACGACAATAACCGTAGGTACGGCTTATTGTCGAATATCGAAATCGCACTATTTACGAGTGAAACAAAAACGAATGGTCGTAGCGGGGTTAATTTGAAAATGCCGTGCGTTTCGCCGCCGAAACTTAACGGACGACTATAATTGTTAGTAATAATAATTATAGCGCTATAAAACGCGACATTAACCGCGTGATAAAGTGCCTACGATACCCGTCGGAATCGAATTTGCCGCTCTCGCCGACGTTTACAGGAGATGTTTCCGGCCCGGAGGTATATAGTGCAATGTGTCGAAGTATTTCCCCGGGTACGGGACTTATTATTAATTTCGACTAAAACAATTAAACGTTCAAAAATTAATTATCCGTAAATGCAATAATAATAATTGAAACCCGGTAGCAATTCCAGTACGGCGGTATAGGTATATATTATAGGAAAATGATAAATCTAAACGATCTCGCGGGGCGGACGTCTCTGACGATCGCCCGCGATGCAACGGTATATAGGTGTTATACAATTATACCTATTCTATTATTGCAATATCTAAAATCGATTTCGATAAAACGCACAAACGTCGGCATTTAAATTAAATTCGATTTTCACTAAAATATCGGGCAACTCGTACGGCATTGGTGTTTCCAGTGTTTATTTGAGAGATGGCGGAGTGCTGAAAATCGCTCGTACTCGAGGCGGAACAGAAACAATGTAGGGCCCGCCCGATCATAACGTTAATTTTTATGAATGTCCCACAAATAAATTACAGCAATAACTTTATTTGACTACATCGGCTACATAATATACTAGGCCATCGTAATATTCGTAATTGCGTATATTGATAATAAAACACGCGCGATTTAAAGGCACCTCTGATCTCTGTAGAATTAGTCAATCTCGATCAACATTAAACATATTTAGTCGGCCGCCCGCCCGCCCGTTTTTAGTTACGAGGCGATCGCCTCGAAAAATCCCACTTCGGCACGCCACTGTTCATAGGTACTGCGGCTGCGGCAGTGTGATTATTGTTGCGCACAATATTACCCGTATGTTTTTGATAGTTCGGTAGACGTTCGTTTATTTGCCGGAGATTATTTCAATTATTCCATTTCCAAATGACGCGTTAAAATTACAATCGAATTTGGATAAATTTACTATTTGGAATCGTTTTAAATCGCATCCCCGTTAAATATCAACTAAATGTAGTGTTATTGATTTTTCACTCTCGGATAATCCGATTGCCTATAATTATTGTTGCACGTTCGATAACCGTACGGTCACTGGAGTTACTTCAAAAGAGACCTAGTGATTGTTTTTGAATACGAATTTTTCTTTGCGTACACAAAAATACTTTTGTTAAAAGTCCTTTTAAGATGTTTACATTCATTGGTAGAGACACAAGTAATTTTTAAAATATTAACGCTTTGAAACCATGAATTATACTCTTTTCCTGTCAGAACTCATCCTGAGTTTGGGTCAATAAAGTCTGGTCACCGGGCATTCTTCACACATAAATCTCATTGGAAATGTTCGATATACATTTTTAAAAAATTATTTTATTTCGTATACTTAGTATGCCCATTCAAAGAGATAGATAAACTCCCGGCTGGGATTTACGTTTTCTAAGTTATGGAGAAATTGTGCAGTTATTATGTTTATTTATGATTTGTTAAACGAACATGTCGGTTCTCCGGAAATCAAGGACGTCATTTTCGGGATGTAAGCGTATGCAAATGCATTCAATGAATTTTTTTAGCACGCCTAAAATGTGTAAATGTGTAGTTAATTTATATTTTAAAATGTTTATTTTGTAATTTAAAAAAAAATTTATGTTATCATTTATAGTTTTAAATATATTTAGAAAACATAAACACCGCCTAAGACGCTCGGTTTTTCAAATTATTGAACGATAATATAACTCGTTTAGGTGTAATTATCGTTATTTTTTGTTTTTATTTTATTTTTTTTTTTTTTATTATGAAATAACGATTGTTTGTGGTTTAGTGAAGTGGCTTTTCGTGCAGTTTGTTGGCTAATTCACATCTATAGTTGCGTGCAGGTAGTGCGGCTATAAAAAAATATAATATATTATAATAGTAATTTAGTGAAAAATAATAATGATAATGATGATGATGATGATAATAATAAATAAGTATTTATGGATAAATTTATTTTTTTTTTAACTATATTTAACACAGGGGCGGCTTTGGGGGGAGCCTATGGGCCGTGGCCCCTCCCAAGCACGTATTTTTGTTAAAAAAAATTATATAGTATCGGCTATTGCAAACACGTACAAGTGTATAGTTAAAGGTGTACAATCAATATGCTACGAAGTATAAATAAACGTATAAAACATGTTATTTATACAGTTTTCTGGAAAATATGACTTGGTCTCCTATCCAACCAAATCTCTGGAGCCGCACAAAATTTGATAAAATTTCTTTATTTATAATTAAATATTTCTTTATTTTCGATTTACTATAAAATATTCCTATGCTCACATATTTATACAATTCATAATACTGTTGAATTTTTAGATTGTTTTAACTTCAGAACATGGGTATACCTACTCTTAATTAAATATCATGTTTATTTAAAATACCTATAGGTATTAATTGTCGAGTTGTTACTACTTACATGATTTCGTTTTAACACATCATGTTTATTATACTATAGATAGTAGATATATTGTTTGTTCCGATGATAAAATTATTAAGTAGGTATTTTTTGTATATTTTAGTTCAATATAAATTTAATGCTCAATATTGAAATTATTTTCAAATACGTTTTTGTATTGTATTTTACATTTGAATATGTGATAGTTGAAAAATAGAGTTAAGTATGGAAATTATCGGTTTCGTGCATAATACCCTACGCGAACGGAATTTAAGTTGATTTTAATTTTCACTATAAGTTTTGCGTCCCATGAAAAAAATATGAAATTACGCCACTGCCGGAACTACTATCTACGATTGGTTTTAATATAATCAATCGTGATTTAAGAAAAACTAATTTGTTTCACGTTCCATTTTATAAAAACAACTATATTTCCACATTTTCCTTCCCTAGAGCTCTTTAATCATTGACTAACCTTATAACCGACCATACTGATTTATTTTCCATGTCACGTAGGTAATTTTGTCAAACATAATGTATATATTTTAGCTCTGGATTTAGTTGTTTTATTTTTATTTTTTCGTATACGTCGTTTTATTTTATTATATACTAAAAATATATAATATTATTATTATTCTTCAAAAGAAATTAAATTGGTTTTATCCCCCCTCCCCTACCTACCTACCTCCTTAAAGTACCACCTTAGGAAATTTCCCTTTCAGAAAAGATACTACACTTGATACTTCAGGGCAAGATTTCTGGTATAATTTTTGTACATAGTATAAAAAAATAAAAAAATTAACTTCTTTGTAAAACCATTACATTTTTCGCGCTACAATCTGAATCTAAAAATATAATCCGTCACAACTTAATATATGAACATTAAAATATTTTTTTAATAATAAATACTAATATTTTATAATATTATTGTGCTAAACACCATGATGGTCCTCTTGGCCATACTAACACGTAACAATTATTAATTTCGTGAACAGTGAACAATTTCAAAACAAAAAAATATCAAACAACTGCACCACCTCACGATCGACCTTCTCAAAGGTCCCTATTGAGTCCTGTAAATTCTATTCCAGCGCTGCGCTAGAAAAATTAATGTTTTCAATGCAAGAATTGGTAATATTCAGAAGTAAAAATATAATCTACATGTGAAGTGTTTGAAATTATTTAATATCATTATCATCATTACAGTCACCATCCAACGATTAAATGAATGTATTTAGAGTATATATAAATAGACGAAAAAAATTCCTTTTGTTGATTCGGTTTTCCCATTGCATTATAAACGTATAAATTTCCATTGAACCATTTTCAAAAAAAAAATAATAATAATAATAATAAAAAACAATATATATATTTAGAGATGCGTTTCGACAACACTGCGGTTTTCGAATTTCAATATCAAACCTTGACAGTATAATGTACTTTTTTGTGTACAATATTTTACAGAGTAAAAGAATTTTTGTCCTCCAAACACGAGAATAAAACGCGATTTTTCTATACGCGTACCAGGGAAATTATATATTCCCCAAAAAGTTAATACTTTCGAAAATAATGATCGCACTCGTTTAAATGGATCACTCATATGCACTTGTATATTCTCCTCGTCCTAACTTCCCAGCTTTTTCTTACCCGTCAATAATTTGCCAATCGGAATGTGGTGAAACGTTCTCCCGACACGCGCATAGAAAAACTACTATTTCTAGTGTTTAGACGGTTGTAAACAATTTTTATTTTATTTTTTTGTACGCAATTTTACGAAAAAAAGTACATAGTACTGTCTACGTTTGATATTGTGCAAGTGAAACGGACCTAATATTTATGTATAATATACTCGTATATATTATTTATAATCGGTAATATTTCATATTATAATATAGTTTATTAAGTTTTCAAACATATTTAAAAAATGGTATTATTTTACTCGGAACCGATTGTATTGTGCATTTTTTTTTTTTTTTTTTTTTAAAGTTTACATAATAGGTACAAATTAAAAATAATATGTTCTTGCCATACCGCTTGGCGCGTTTGCAGTATATAATGGCGTAAGACGTTTTTTAGCATAATCGAAATACTGTATAGATATATTTAAGAGTTCTAACACTCCTGATAACTGATTTGTCATTGTCTGCGATAGTGTGAAACAATAGACGAGTAAAATTTAGCAAAAAATCATACTCTTCCTTCGTCATCCGGAATGATAATGACTTTACTATAACGTATACGGGTAGTACGCATAAATACGTCGAATTATAACTCAAAACCATAATATTATATTATTTATAATGTTTGAATACAAAAGAAAAAAAAAATAATAATAATGTTATCACTATAAACCGTGAAATATATTCCCAAATTTCGAAATATATTTTTTTTCGTTTATATACAATGTGTATATTTTTTTTAAATGTCGAATAAAAACATTTTATTTTTTTTTTCAGACGTGTATATTATACGTTTGATCGCTGAAATAGTATAACGAATCATATACTGAAAAGTGAAACTATTATTATAATAGGATGATGATAACAACAATAATAACAACAACTTATGTAATAAAAACAAAAGTAACAAATCATTAGTAAGCATAATATCATAGAAGGTATTTTAGATTCTTAGTGTAGCGAACATATTATACTATTAGCTTTGCCAAGGTGTGTGTGTGTGTGTGTGTGTGTGTGTGTGTGTTTTAGATTCTGAGTGAAACAAAGAAGCTTATATGGTTTTACAATGATGTTTTTTTTTCTTTCTTGCGGAGAACTTTTATACCAGCAATTTCGCTCCGATTTACAATCATAGCACATTTTCTCAAAGAAAATCTGACTGAGGTGGTACTTTAAGGAGGTCATTTTTTGGTTTTCCTAGGAGTTTACCCAGAAAAAGTGGAAAACCGGGAAAAAACACGGGGAACCCGAAAAAAACGTAGAACAAATGAGAAAATAGGTACAATATTAAACAGATATTATTAAAGAAAATATATAATGCATACGCAATTATTTTACTATAGTATGACATACATACTGTTGACAAAGTCACACTATCTACCGAACTCCGCTCAGAATCGTTTTTTCACTTACGGATAAATATTAAATTTCCCCTCTACTATTTTCCCAACTTCTCACCTATAACAGTGGCTGCTCTCGTCACCATTATTCTAGGACACCTTTTTTTTATTATTATGATAAGTGGAAATTCTCCGATTTGTTTATGTTATACCTTAAAAGATGCGGATTTTCCGCCACATAATAAGTTTATTCTATACATTTTTAAAAAAATCGATGATTAATGATAGTACATCCCTCATAACTTTTTCAATTTACCAAGCTGCTATGTTTAGAATTCATTTTTCGATTGCGATGATTTCTACGGTCCCGGAGAAAAAAAACGTAGCTCACTTTATATCATTTATTGCGTTTTTGTTTTCTCTTTCTACCACGAAAAAAACCGCAGTATTTCTAGAAATTCAGGGAGCTTTCAAATCGAATAATATTAATTATAAAATCCAATTTTTTTTCCGTAGATGTAACTCAATAAAAATAATATGACTATAAATCAGTTAACGAATGATAACTTTAAAAACAACTACAATTTCCTTTTTAACACTAAAATATACAAAAATATTATAAAAAATTAAAAGTTTAATTAAACAATTCAAATTCAGAATTAAATTTGTACTTAAAATTCTATAAACTGGTCTTCTAAAAAATGTTGAAAACAATAAAGTGAGCTAAGTTCATCTTCTTTGGGAGCATCGATTAATCGTTGCTTTCAGTAGATAAAGTAAATTATACTTAATGTCTTATACCTTCCCAACTACCCACCATACAACAGTGGCCTGTCCATGACGTGAAAGCTGTCTGGCTTTTCATTAAATATAACGGTTTTTATAAGCAAACGTTCGAAAAATTAATTTCTGAATAACGTTTTGGTGTTCAAATTGCTTTAACTGCTCGACGGATTATTTCATCGTATCGTAAAAATAAGATAAAAAGCTAAACGAGAAAAAACTATTATCTCTACTTCGCAGCGACTTTGTTTTTATTGCAGAATATATCCGTCACAATATTATAAGTACCTACCTACCTATATAACGTCACAAATCAAATGAAACTGTAGATTCCGTTTTTTCACCGATTAATTTTTATAATATTTATGAAATATGAAGCTTTATTTTTTTTTCCAATCCGTAGATTGGTTCATGAAATGTTCTTCCACTCCTCCCTATCCACAGCAACTTTTTTTCAATTCACCGTAAGGTCATTTATCTAAATCCAACATGATTTGCGTTATATAAGACTGTCTTGGCTTTTCTCTTCCTGACTTTTCCTCGATTTTTCCTTCAATTATAAATGTTACTCATGCATTGTTCCTTAAGAGGTGTCCGACAAATGTTCCCTCCTCTCTCTAATTATTGTCCATATCGTTCTCCTTTTGTGTATTTTCCGATATATCTCTTCATTTGACACTCGTTCGGTCCAAGAGATTTTTAACGCCCTTCTCTAACACCAAGTTTCGAAAGTATCTATTTTTTTCCTATCAGCTTTTAGGATTTTTCATAACTCTGCTCCATACAAAGCCACACTCCATATCATTGTTTTGATAAGTGTTTTTCTAATATTACTGCCCATTAAACTATATTATAGGTATATTCATCAATCCACAACTTAGTTATACTTAGTATTTTTGTGCATCGGTGTATTAAACACGTCCGTTCGTCTTACAAGCGATCTATACAGAGTGATTTATTATACCACGAACCTGCAGCAATTTTTCTCAAATGGAGTTTAATTGAATTTTATTTCTGTATTTTTCAAACATTACAATGTAATTTTTTATTAATTCTATTTTCAATTTGTTACCCCTATTCCTCGCACCTTGAATGAGTAATGAGCTTCATATCCATTTTTAGATGATTAAATCCCTAGTACTCTCTCTACTACTTTATAAATATAACATAACGTATGAAATAAAATATAATATAAAATTCGTTAAATAGTTTTAATTATCGCGCGTCACGTCTTACCGAGCTACATTCGTTTGGTATTTATTTAATTTGCATTATATTCCAGCGATTATTAACATTTTTCAACTGACCAATAAATCGTGTCCCGGGTTCGAACTGCCGTCGATTTTCAACCGGCAAAAATGTGACACCGACCGAGACTGCTGGCCGAGAATATGTTGCGGGTACGGCGGACTTAACGGTACGAGATACTGTCGGATTCCTTTACCGAGCTGGCGAAACGATTTGCTGAAAACCGTTTCGAAAAGTATGTATAAATATACAGACACAAAACCGTTTTTAATTTAATTATTTAAAACGCGCCCGATAATCGTTCGATTTGATATTACATAGACATAATATACTCATCAGTCATACCTACTATGTACCAATTCATTTTCGGTTGGTCATTCTTTGGTGTTGGCTGTTATCATGTCATTTGAAATTTTAACGTATATATGTATATATATATTGTATAATAACTTTAGCTCAATAACTGACCTGCATATAATCGCATCATTTTTTTATACTAATCAATAATTAATACTGACAGATATTTTTTTTTATTAATACGCATTTTTCATTAGTTTTAGTACCTACTCGATTTTTACGTCCGGCAGTCCAACCGCAATAAAAAGGAACTACACGATCAAACGATATTATTTATTTTATATATATATTTATTATAACTGCACTTCTTTGATACATACGAAATATTAAGTGGTACTTAGTGGCGGATCCTGGGTGAGGGCGAGGTGATAAAGTAATCGCCCTCTCCCAAACACCCAAACACTGAAGTATAGTATGCTTTTTTCTTCTATCGTGATGGTAAAATATACACTAATTTGTATTCATGTAAATTTTATTGCCTCCCCCCCCCCCTCTTAAAACCGTAGTATTAGTGTAAAATATACACTAATTTTTATTCTTGTTAATTGTATTACAAATACCCAAACACTGAAGTATAGTATGCTTTTTTCTTCTATCTTGATGGTAAAATATACACTAATTTTTATTCATGTAAACTATAATGACTCCTCCCCCTTAAAACCGTAGTATTGTATGCTTTTTTCTTGTATCATGGTAAAATATATACCGATTTCAAATTTTGTAAATAGTGTCCTTCTCCCCCTTCTCAACCCAAAGTTATGATCTAGATCCGCCACTGGTTGTACTTACCTAATATGTTGTTTGTACCTACCTACTGTACCATAGGTATACTATTCTTAAATTTCAAAAGTAATTTATTGATTTTGACCTTATTGTTATTGAAATAAATTGATATGTTATTTTCAAAAAATAAATCATACTTATATATCTGCTATTACTTGCTATAAATAAAACTCCTACACTCGTACTATACTTACAAAAAATATATTCTTCAAATAACTTACACTGACCGAAAAAACATTATAGCATAAGAGTAATTGCACAAAGACAAAAAAAAAAAAAACCATATTTTAAATTACACTTTGAAATAGATAGGAGACCTTAATATCCTTTTTCAATTACCGGCAACGGTATAGAATACCACCAACGAACAAGTATATTTAAAAGGAATATTGCTCAGTGAAATCGTTTGATCTTATGTACTGGCGTCCCTGAATAAAACATGTCGGGTAAAAAAATCACATCACTCTACTTCCTACAGATATTGTGTGTGTCAAATCAAAAATAGTTCTAACGTTTTACACTACAAACAAATTTTAATTCGCATTTTGACACTCGTCTATTTGAAAAAAATTTGTATCTATCCTTGTATTAACTCACAAACAGGACAATTAAAACCATCTTATTAAATCAAAAAGAAAAACACTAAACATTAGATCGCACTTATTAGGACCTTGCCTGAAATCTAAATTTCCTCTTCAAACTTTAATCGCCATAACTATATGCAAATGTTAAGGCCAAATGACATCCGAATTGCGAGTATGTCAAACCAATTTACCAAAATTTTAAGCTTTCCAATCAAATTTGTCATTCCACTTATTCACGTCCGCTCCTTGGTTCGTTTCCAACCACACCTCCATAAAGGCCTACTCATTGAAAATTTAATCAAAATACATTATGAAAAATTCCATTCAAGATAACTTCACCACCTAATCCCTCTAGTCAACACACAAACGCTGTACCAGATAACCCTGCCCCCCCATGTTGTCTATAAAAACGTTGGTACCATGACTTTTTAAATTGAATAGTCGTTACTGCCCTAGGTTCTAGCTTACTTTTCTCGATTTAAAACAATTTACCGGAAAATGACAAACCGTTTTCAAACACAGACGATTCTGGGAGAAGTTTGGTAAAGCATGTTTTGAAATCACAGGGTATTGAATAATATTGCGTCTTAAATAATATTTTCAAATCGATTATAGTATGATAATGTAGGAAAGGGCTTGATAAATCATCGATAAGTCCTAGTCAATTATTCATCAAAATTAGTCAGAAATATTTCTAATAAATAAGGAAATATATTAGGTAATCAATTGAGTAGTCCTTTTATACGTTCAAAATCAATATAGTAGATAATATAAATATATCAGTCTGATGATCATATTACGAAAATAAACAAGAAAATTATATTTTTTTATAAATTACCCATATAATAGTGTAACTTAGCTATTGATTTAAAATCCTGATAAAAATATACTATCGGTGTAACCGTTGACCTCTCAATAACCCGTAATGACGCCTATGTGGCGCGAATAATGAAAAAAAAATTTTATCCACATAAAACAACTAAATAAAACTAAAACTCATCGGCAATTTCTAATGCCTAATAAATAGATCATAAATCAGTAGCATTTTTAAAAACTCTATAACGTCTAATATAAGTACTCGATGAAATTTGCAGGTCTCAAAAATTATATTTAACCTTACATATAACAAAAAAAAATATACACAGTGATTTTTTTATCGATGCACACTCATAATTTCAGAAAGTAAGCATAGGCTTTTTCAAAATAAAGAAAAAATATTTTCACAGTTTAAGAAAAAAGCCGATCTAAAATGTTACATCACCATTATTTTTTTGTCACCCTTATTTTTGTGGTGAAATAACTACTCTTTTCCTACCTAAACTTAAAAAGTGGGATATTTTGTGAACGGGTTGACGGAAATCAAAAATTTTAACACCAAAATATATTTAAACTAATATATCTTCATCTATACATGGAATTTTTAATATAGGTTACCATTTAAAAATCAAAAGTTGGTTGTCGTTTCACTCCCCAAAAAAAAGGGTAACAATAAATTATGATGTTATAACATTTTAGATCTGCTTGTTTTTTAAATGTTCAATTGATATCGAGAAAAAGATCTTTCAACAGAACAGTTAGTTTTAGTACACGTCATGTAAAAAATATATACATGAACGCAGGATTTTATTTAGAACTTTGCTACCATAGGCTATAGCTTTTTCTTTTTTTTTTTTCTTGGCACCGGCAATACACCCATCACCTAGAAACACCACGAGGTTGCCACCTTCAGGTGGCTGATCGCCATCGTTTTTTGATATAGGAACGTGGGAGCGCTATAACTTTAGGGGGTGCTGTAGCCGGCAGAACTCTTGATTTTCGTTTTAAATATAATTCCTATCTGTGATTTACCATATACTAAAAAACAATTTCTTACGTACCTTTGATATGAGAAAATCTACGACAAGTTAAGAGTAAGCTTGAGAAAAATAAAGTAGAACTTAAAGGTAAGGGACTTAAAAGTAAAACAGAGTATGAGTTTGGAGGAACAGAATAAAACAGCTAATGACAATAAGCAGTGATAGAGATTGAAAGTTTTAAATACTTACCTAAGATCTTTTGTTCAAAATATTGATGGCTTTCATGACCATGTGAAACATAGGATTACGTGTGGTCGGGTAAAGTGGATAGGAGTAATTTGATTAATTTGAATAAAGTGGAGTAATTTTTTTAGGTTAACTTTTAAATACTTTTAAACTAATCCATTATACATTTTTATATAGATATACAAAATCAGTAAATAAATTAGGAGAAGAGTCTATGTTCTAAGAAATAGAGGCTTGTTTTTTATTAGCCTAGGAGCACCTTTCAGGTAAATCCGGCCCTGCATAAACATAATAACCTTTCAACGTTTAGTAAATTTTAAGTTACGTTTCAATCAAATATCATCTTATACATGTTTAGCATAATATTCTTGCACTTATTTTCGTAAGAAATTAATAAATGTAGTTAATAAATAATATATTAATAATAGTACAATTACTATTAGACGAGTTATCAAAGAGTAATCGTGATATAGGTTTTAAATTCTGAGCAGAGCGAGAAGATGGAATGTATTGGGTTTACAATGATTTTTTTCAATCTGTGAATCACTTTTCTACCAGAAATTTTGCTTCGATTTTCAATATATCAATATATAGGTATAGATAGGTTAGCGGAAACATGATTTTCAAATGCATAAAAGAAAATAGAATACAACGGATCAATATTATAATTGGTTACAGTGTTCATGATTCTTAAGAGTGGTGTGTTAGCATAATTAGTAGTTTGAAATTTTGAATAAAGAAGATTAGTTGATCGGGTGTTAGCTTAGAGAACTTTAAAAAATAGACGGGCTAAGAAGTTAGGACAATCAATGTATAGCCATTTAAAAGCTTATAAAAAAAATATACATCAAGTTTGCTTTTAGATTCTAATATGATGGTTACTATCTACTGTGACGTGTTTGTTTTTTTTCTGTATGTGAACAACTTTTCTACCAGAATTCTTGCTCCAATTATGAACTTTAGAGTTGATGGTTTCTAGTAAAAGCCGGGACGGATCCAAGGGGAAACATATTATTTCTTCGATTTTTATTTTATAATTCTATAGATTCTGATATGAGTATATTCAAATCACAGATATTTGGTATGATAATCAGGGCCGTATTTAAGAGATGATTCCGGGGGCTATAGCCCCCCTAGTATATGTTAGGGGGGCAATAATTTTCCATGGCGATCATAAGAAAGTTTTCGGAAAAATTATAAATTATATAAATAATTTATATATTTTTTATACGGAGTGATCAATCTATCATAAGACTACTTAAGTAGTTATACAATTATTCATAAGATAAGTCAGGGACGCCAAAATCATAAACACGGTCCTGATGATAATATATTATACTTATCTGTGGACTGTGATTCCAATATTGCAATTTCGTAATTACGTGTTAATTGTTAATACCACACGAGTGCGCCACGTCGCCACTATCACAAATATATTGTGGTTGATTACACTATTATATGGCACTATAATTAGAACCACAGACATTGCAATTGTATTTGTGTTATAAAAAAAAATGTTGAACCTCCCCTCCCCCCAGATCTTTGCTCTTGTTCCATACCTGATTTGGTGCAATAAGGAGGTTATTTTTTGGTTTCCTTTGTAGTATTCTTAATTACGAGAAAACTGTTGCATTTACTGTTACTGTTTATCTATTCAATGAAAAATAATCATAAAGGTCAAAAATTTCAAAATTTTTCATACTCATACTAATAATTTCGAATACTCATAGTCTCTTATATACAGTTCTTTTCAGACATGATATTATTTTCAAATCATTCTGGAAATTTTTCAGTTATAGCCATTTGAAGCTGTCAAGTTTTCCATGAGTTTATTTGGTTTTATGTGATTAAAATGATGAGTTGACGAGTTGCAATTGGTGGGAAAAATAGTTTAACGAAATGTAGTAATTTTGTTTTTTTAATAAGCGCTTCAAATTTTAATGAAAATATATTTTGATATTAATGCCAAATATATACCGTGTTTTTACGATAATAGTCGGTGGCGGCGAATTTTATTGAAAAATATATAATATATAATACCTATTATATAAAAAAAAAATTGTAGAATAAAGGAATTACATAAAAAAAAAACATGGCCCAAAGATGGACGATCGCCACGGCCGACACCACTGTGTGTGTCCCGTGCGTTCCATTTCAAATAAACAGTAGAGGTACGGCTACATTTCCGGAAAAAAAATTATTTGAAGTACTCCGTCCCCCTAAGTCACCACACCACAATTCGAGGACTGATTATCATTAGTTTATTTTTTTGACATTTAACGAAAACAAGATAATAATTTGTAACAAGTTTTAAATTTCCATCATCAGGGCACGCTATGTTGTAGGAATGCCAAAACCCCTAATAACAATAACAAGTTCTGTTGAAAATAACATATAATTTTCGTTCGCGTAACACCATTAGATGCGGTGTATGTCCGTACACATATCCGTAGTTTCTTGAATAAATTAAAAAAAAATGTTGTCTAGTGTCTTTTCGAAAATATTGTTTGTGTCTAGTGGTAAAAATCGTAGTAGGTATACCTATTTAGCACGGTATCTATTGATTGCATCTATAGATAATTTTTTTTTCCGCGAGTGTATTGTCCGTGTCTGTTATTTTGCAACGGCAAGTGCGTAATATATTATGACGTGCACGATTCGATCGGATTGAAAACAGAAAACGGATATCTTTACTTATAAATAATATAGGCACTGTACACAAATATCGAAGACGTTTTTTCCGATTATACGAAAATTCGATGGAGCTCGCGAAGATGCGAATAATGTTATAATACCACCGGAGCCCGCACCAGCAGGTATATATACCCGGGTAAAAACTTAAAAAACACAATATTATAATAAACTTGAGTAGTCCGTATTATAAACGGGGGAAAAAACAATTCCGACGAAAAACGAGCCCGTGAATATCTTTTACTACTGCGTAGGAATTCCCTGTGCGTTCCGTCATATCATATTATTATACTCGTATACCTATCGATTTTTTTTATTTTTTTTTTTTTTTTTAGCAACGTTTCCGAGTCCTTCGAGTGTCCCTAAACTTAACGTTTTTCGCTTTCGCCCGGGACAATATAAAATATAATAATCGTACGATCTCTACGAAACGTTTACCCGGGGAAAATAAATACCCACAAAAAATATTTAAAACGCAAAAAAAACAAAAAAAAAAAAAAAAGTAAAGTTCAAAAACTGAACCATTATATTGTTATCATTGTTATCATTATCATACTGTCCAAAAAATGAGAAATTTTCGGCGCATAAACATCCGAACCCTATAGTTATGATATTCTTTCGTCGTAATATTTGGTCTGGGAATTATTAATAACTTTATTGCAATTACTTTATTTTTTTGGTTTGCGCGAATAATTTTACATTTTTCATCGCTTCTAGTTTTTGATAAATTATTTATAATACACACATAGGCACCACTAAGGGAGCTAGAAGATCTTTAGCACTCCCGAAAAAATCCAATCATCCTTTTCATAGTAACGACTAGATAATATTTTATCCGTATCCTGCAGACAATGCATATGTGTGTACGGAAAATAATGTTAAATATTTATGAAAAATTTCGTAAATCGTAAATAAAAGGCATAGTTGACTGTCGTGAGAGTCGCGTACAGGGGACTGTGGGAGCATGGCCCCCGCGACGGGTCTTGGGGGTGTCCATAATTTTAGCATACCCCAAAGTCGGTGGCCTAGTTGCGCCTACGAACGTACAAATATATCATTAAACACTATTATTATTACAAACAAATATTGACTTTTTTCAAAAATCCTACTAGAAACTGCGCAAAACGTTTGTGTTTTGTTCACCCTTGTATCGTGTAAAAGTCAAACCGCCGTCAACTTTCGGTTTCCATATGGCAGTCCGTCGACCTATATATTTGACACTCCGCGGTAGCAGATTGAGTATTCATGAAACGTTCAATGTTGGGGGGTCGCGACGTGAAAATCAAAAGTAAGTTATTGTTTCACGTTGTCGTACTCGTTTCGAAAACAAGGGTGACAAGAAACTGACGGTAATGTAGCATTTTATAAGAGCAGCGTGTTTGAAAAAAAAAAAAACAATGTTCGAAAAAAGACAACACACTACATTACGGCCAATCGAACCTATGATTGACGTTCATAATTGAACACCCTGTACATATATAACCACCATGATAATATTACATCCGCTGAAAATAACGCACTTTCATAATATTTCAACTAAACAAAAACAAAAAAAAACAAAAAACCGGTCTACACGTTTTTGGCGACCTTTCGGGCGAATACCGTAGTAGACCGCGGACTTACCGACCGCCAGTTGAGGTCGGTGCGGGAGAGGCGCCGCGCGAATCCGGACGATCGCTCGCGGGCTGCAATATTGTAATAATATTGCGATCGCCGAACTCGTCCGCGGGCCCTACCATCGTACCATCGTGTGTCGTGTTCGCAGGCCTCCGGTCTAACCGGCCGCGGTACTTGCAGTGCAGCCCGCCGCCGCCCGCGCGGTACGACCTGTTCCCGCGGAAGTGCCGGACCACCGTCGACTGTCTGCCGGACCTGTGCTGCCCCGAGGGGGGCGGCAGGAACGTTTGCCGGCCGCCCAGGGGATCGATACTGCCGCTCGCGGCCCGGCTGTCAGCCGCAGCCGCCCGCACGCGGCCCCGGTCGGGGCCGCCGTGGCGTCCGTGGCGTCCGTTCACCGGGTCCGACTACTAGCCGGCCACCGCGGCTGTCCACGCCGTTTCCGTCGAGGGCTCGACGACGACGACGAAGACGACGCCGACGACCCCACGTCTAGAGTAATACAACACGGCCGCGTTTTCGCATTGTACGCCGTTTTTACCGCCGGAACACTTTTTTTTTTTTTTTTTTTTTTTTTTTTTTCCTATTACCGTGTGGGGCGATATCTGTTTTATTGCACGAATTTCTGTTTACGAAATTACCGTTACCGAAAAAAAAAATATTTTCCCACAACCTACAGCAGTAACCGCGCGACACCCGCAAAACTTTGCGCTTACCGAAATGACATTATTGCCGAAACAGCGCTCGCCGATTTTCTCACGCGCGTTTTTCCGTTAAACCGATTCGCTGCAAGCGGTTGTACACCCATGCATGACGCGAAAACGCGTCTAAATGTAAAGACAATTACGTGATAATTATATTGCGTTGTAATCTTCTAGCGTATTCCGCCAGAGAACCGCGGCCGGGGGGAGGCGGAGAGGGGGTTACTCTTCGGGCGAAATGTATCGCCCCCGCCCCAACTCTAGAAAACACAAAAAGTTACTCTATATATATATATATATATAAATATACACTTTTAATGTTAAATAAGTGTACCGCCCGCTTAAATGGATCGCCTTGTATGTATGTATGGACCAGTCTGAAGCTCAACCAACAGGGGCATGGGGCAGAGAAAGGTTGATTTAAAATTATGTTACATCTCGGGTTCCCCCGTCTCGAAAAAGTTAACGGTTTTGATATAAAAATATATATATGCGTATGTATATTTTTGTTCACAGTGATTTTCATTTCTTTACAATTATTTGGTAAAACGGCCAAAATAGCCGATAAGAATTTATATTATTATATCAAAAATAATACATACATTACATACGTATAACATAAAAAACGAATTATATGAAAATTACCAAAAAAAAAAAAAAAAAACAAGTTTTACAAAAAATTTTCTAGTATACTGCAGATCTAGTTTATCTGTTTATGATTGCTTGATGGGGGGGAGTCCACTTCTGAAATGTCTCTATTATTGGTACATTAATATCGTTCATATCCTAGACCTTAACCGAGTCAAATAAAACAAAGCGACGCGCAGTGACGTAAAATCAAAAGCTAGTGTTAGCAATCAATACCATTATTATATGCTACGCAAAGAATAAATATATTTCGTTGTAGTAGTAAATATTACAACGTGTAACCGCGATCACCGTTAAAAAATGTCTAAAGAATGGGTGGGTGGGAAGAGACTATCGACCTATCACTCCCCCCCTTGCATACGCCGTTGCTATAGACATTGAACAAATGTGACGGACCTTTTTCGGTTTAACGAGGGGGAAAAAAAAAGTTTGGATTGAGTCTTTGCAGTACATATTGTCGTTAAAAAAAAAAAAAATAACAAAAAAAACAAATAACAAAATTCTTTTCGGATTAATACTCAATACAATATTTTATTATTGAGTACGAATTAGCATACACAGAGCGATTATTTTATCGTTATCTACGAAGATTTCGAGTACCTAGATAAATTCAGATTTTATTCAGTCACATAGGTATTTTATTACCATTATTATTTCGTATCGCATAATTGATTTTAATCAAAAATAACTTTATACTTAAAAAAAACCTCACTATGATACCATCGCCTTTTTTTTTTTTAATTGTAAAATTTTACACGGTATACGGTATATCTATTCAAAACCACATTCAAAAAGATCATAGTATTTATGTAAACATATTGACGCGCACATAATACGCATTCCCTTACGAACGCATGTGCAAATTCGCAAAATACGGGAGCAGCTAAAATATTCGAAAATCAATAATCGATACGCGTGTATCCGTATAAATATTACACTGCGTCACATGGACTGCGACACATGTGCTAGGACGGTGCTAGGCCGTACCTTCGGGGAAGTGGTTCAACCCCCGAAAATGGATCGCGTCAAATTATTTCGTTGGAAAACAATTATTTTGGACGATAAAATTAGAAGACCGCAAATTTTTTTTTTTACAATCCACCCACCCCCACCCCCACACTCCCTACTCACTCCTCCAGAAATTGTTTCCCGGTTACTGCCTGTGCGTCGCGACGGTATAAATTTTAATATATAGTCGGTACAGGAATTATGGCACGGCAACGGAATAACGTAAATTACATTTTGATAATAATAATATATTGTATAAGGCGGCTGCGTTCAACATAATATGTTATTATAATCGATTAAACGCGATTTTTCGTCTCGATAAAAAAAACAAAATCCAACATCGTATTCATTCGGGCACTCGAAATCTCCGTATGACGCATAAACGAATGTGGAACAGTAAGTTCCTACACACGAGAGTGGCGGGTAAACAAATTTTATACGTTACGGTTCCGAAAAATGAGACGGTTAAGTTCCTGCGCAGTAAAAATAGGTGCGTGTGGTATAGTCCCCTACACGGCGGAAATATTACGTACAGGTACGTAAGTTCTTGCGCAGTAAAAAAAAAAAAAAAATTAAAATACATATCAAACATAAATTTCATAAATAAATAGACGACGATGATAAAACGTAATAAAAATCGCATAACGCATTTCATAAATAGATAGGTTAGGTTATGTCAAACAAACGTAGATTTTTTTAAAAATTAGACGTTTTGTACGTGGATGGTACTTTTAACTCTAGTGATACACTTACTGACATTTGAACATTTTTTTTTACCTTGTAGGAACTAACGTTTATAATTTTTCCCGCCGTATTGGAACTAACCTTTACGCGCCTTTTTTCGACCGTGTAGGAACTTACACATCTCCTATTCATATTCGTGTAGGAACTAACATACGCGCTTTTTTTTTCTTTCCCCCCCTTTTAGGAACTAACATACGAGGTGTGATCAAAAAGTTCCAAGGTTTTTTGAATTGCGCGCTAACGGACCGTCCAAGAGCAGTTGGACTGATATCACTGGGTTCTGTGCGATTTTGTAAAGAAAAGCTTTTTTTTGGAGGGGGGAGGAGAGGGGTTGGTCGTAGAAGATTTTTCTTTCCTTTTTGTGATAACATAATGCGATACGAGTAATGATTGTTATCGTGCTGAATCGTCAACATGTTTTTATTGTCATTTTGTTACCATACCAAACAATTCCCGATTAACCGGGACATGGACTTGCCCGCCGCATACTCGTGAAAAACTTTCGCTCGGCACGTCTGCTGCAGGTTTTCAGTCGCAATCTGTTGGCAAAAGTCATTCCTGAAACGTTGCGTTCCTCCGCCGAACAGCGGGTCTGTCGACAAAACGGTAGGAAATAATCACTCCCGCCCCTCGCGCCTAGGGGGAAAAAAAAAAAAAAAAAAACAACGCACGCTCTTCTTTTGGATTCTTCGCGAAACCGCCGCGGTACGGCGCAAATATGACCGCGGTGGTACGATGCACGTAACGTTAATAATAGCGGCGGTAATACGCGGCCGGGCCACGGAACTCGCGTCGCGTGTCGGGTGTGCGTACGGGCTGCGTACCGACCGCGGTCGCGTTGTATTATTAAACGCGCGTCGAGTTTACGTTCGAATTGGCCAGACGCGCGATAATAATATTGTTATGTCGAAATGCCGTTAACGTCCCCCCCCCCCCATTGTCGTTATCATAATCGTTATCATTATTATTATTGTTATTATTATTATTATTATTATTATTTTGTCGCACGGCGTCTAGTCATTTGTGTGCCAAATCAAACGCGTGCAATCCGGACGGGGTCGCGTGGGGTGTGGTATGGATGGGGGGAGGGGGGGG